GAACATTTGTGTTATATTCTTAATTTTTTTACATATATGAAGATATATATGAAGATATATATGTACATATACAAGAAAATTAGAACATATATAAAAAAAAGTATAGAAAACTTATTTTAAGTAAACTGAAAAGTTTAGATTACAAGCTTTAGTCATTTTAGCTGATAAATTTATTTTAATGATTAATTATTCTGTCTTGCTATGGTACCTCTCCTACATTATTGAAATATTTACACCACATTTCTCGTAATGCTAAAGCGTGATTAGCATGACGGTAATCTCTTGGATTTTGAAATTCTAAAGCCTGTATTTGTTCATTTCTCCAGGCAAAATATTTTCTCCTAGTTCATTTTCTGTATCTATATATGATGGTGGCGTGTACATGGCACGGCTAACAACAGTCCGATGTATATTATATAGACAGCATATAATTATTATAATATCACAGGTATCATCCGGATTGTATCTCAATGGAGATCTAAAAATTTGAAAATGACTGACCATGAAACCAAATCTATTTTCAGAGCGTCCTCTGGCACGAGAACGTCTACAATCATATCATACAAAGAAAAAAATTAAATTTTTCTCTCTCTCTCTCTCTCTCTCTCTCTCTTTCTCTCTCCTATACTGTTTTAAGTTTTCTTTCTTAAAAATTATCTTTGCAAGAATGTTCAAGAGATTTCGTATTATTCTTTTTTCAAAAATGAAATTCACCTGTAGTTGAAAATTCTTTTGTCTCTTCTACCAGAATATTGTTCTTTAGGGAAAGGTAAGTACATTTTCAGATAATATAAAACCTTCATCGCCTACGATAATAAATGGAAAATTTTTATCAGTGCTTTGGTTGAGGAATTTTCAGTTCATTTCTTTCTAGGAGGTTCTTAAATATTCCATATTCCTTTATCAGACACTCTTCCATTTGTATCGACATCGATATAAATAAATTTCAGATAAGTATCGACGAGAGCAAGTAAGACAACATTAAATATGTGTCTTTATAATTATAATACAAAGACTCAGATTTCAAGGGTGGATCAATGCGACAATGTTTGCTATCTATGGCGCCAAGGCAATGAGGAAAATTCCACCTATCTTCGAAGTCGTAAGCCACTACTTTCAATTCCTCTTCAGAATTAGGAATTTTTAGATATAAAGATTCAAGAGTAATTCTCAGAGCACGATATGTATCTTTTATTATATTGTGCTTTACCCTAGTCTAAAATAGATAGATAGAAACTCCTGAGTTTCACCTATAAAATAAACAAAAATTTAAAATCTTTCAACTTATAAATCATATAATATTATAAGGTATAATATACATATCTAAAAAAATCTCATCTGTTGCCAAGTGATGCAGTGTCTGATAACCTCTCTGAAGGTAAAATGCTTTCTCTAAGATATATGTCACATCTTTGAATTAAAGGTGTTAGCTTAATAACAAGATCTTCAAATATCTCTATACTCAATCGAAAGCATCTATACGAAAAGAAAAATAAGAACTAAAATAGCAAACAAGATGGTATTTTCACGAAAAAATAAAAAATGCGTAGAAAATAATTTCTAAAAACTATATTTAGTCTATTTCCTTCTGAAATTTATTTGGATCCTCCAACTGTAATTCTAAAAAAAGGTTATGATGGCAACCTTTTTCCTTCCTTCTTGCTACCTATGGTTTCATCCATATTTTTCTGCGAAGAAGAGTTTCATAATATTCACAAATAGTTATAAAGGTTAAAAGTGCACATATCTTCTTTCTTTTTTTAATCTCTGCAAAATTGTGTTCATTGTATTGAAATCCTAGAAAAGACATTGAAACTGAATGTGAGCGGCAACCGCAATAGCATGATTAAAATACAGCCAGTCGCAATTGCAGTCGCAGTCGCAATCGCAGTCACAGCCGCGGGTCGCTAATGTGATACGGCCATAATACGATGCCGTGAAGAAGGAACGATTAATTGCAGACACAGAGATATTTTTATTTTAAATATTTATTTTTCATGTAATGCATTATATACAATATCACATACTACATCATACAATATCATATCTACAGCATATACTATCAATTCGCATTTAATATATGAATTTTTATCGTAAATCCTACGCATGTCATTTGTATCATATTACATTAATCGTTGTCATTGTGAAACATTAATTATTCTTAAAAAAAATTTCGTATATTACGCTGATAAGGTCATATTGAAACTTGCAAATTTGCTGACACTACAATTTGTGGTATCAGATGTCATCGTCGTATGTCTCTAAAAATTTTTTGTTACAAAAAATTGTTAGAAGGGATAAGATTTAAATAGAGATTGGAACAACGATACTGCATCAGTCATTCAGATTACTCATTCAGATAGATTTGTTTTGCAGTGATCTCCAGCGCCATGGATTCATACGTTCAACATGAGTCGAACAAGTAAGTATTTCAATTATATTTATTTGTGAAGATTTTTTTCTCTATATATTACTTATTCTCTATATATTACTTTTGTTCTTCTCCATTACAGCGTCTTCTCATACCATTTTGACAAGACTATTAGCGTTGACACCTACGACTTACAAATTTTTGAAGATTGAAATTGTCGTGGGGTCAATCCCACATATAGAAATTGCGATTGGCGATACCCGAAGCATCATCCTGCCGCATGATATGTGAATGGCGTTCATCGAGAAACGGACAGATCCAACGTTTGATGCAATCATCTACGCCATCGAAAGTAATGATACTGGACCTTGTCATTGAACTTGTTAAAATACGTAATGTTGACAATGTGAAATTATCTTCATATGAAAAGTGTTCATATATAAAACCGTGGACTATACTTTTTATGCTTCAACTCGAACAATGTATCGAGCACATATATTTCGATTTGTATCAATATACTAAAAATATAAGCGATAAATTTAAATATTTTGTGATTCATTTAGGGGAGACCGAGGCTAATAGACTCATTTTCCAGTTTCGAATTTTTAGACAAATTAAGAGACTTATCGAAAAAATGAATTCTATACCAGTTTCTACATACATTTGACTATCTAATAATATTTTAATAATAAGAGGAAACTGATAACTAATGAAAAAAACATATTAATAAAACTTTTATAAAAATATATTTTAAACACAAACTTCGCTTCGCAGAGGCAAACAATACTTCTTTTTGCAAAATTTGTTCATTTCATGCAAAAACACGTCGAATAAGCCTAGTTTTCGAGATTGGACATGAGGAAACTAAACTTATTAACATTTATCACTGAGGAAAATCTCTTTAAAGGAATAAAATTATACCATAACAGAGACACACAAAAAAATCTGTTGGACTTTATTAAGTAAGAACTACACTTACTATCTAAGTAGAAATCAAATATCTCAGACAATCATATACGATAGTAAAAACTTTAAGAATAAAAATATTTACTTAGATGTACGATTTTTTAAAATTGTGACATAATTTCTATTATAAATGTGTTGGCAACAAGATGTTACAGCAGACTTAGTGGCAGTCGCTGCTGCGTAGACATGCATACTCAGACATGTTTACGCATGTCTCGTGTGTTTTAGCCTCGATTATTCTATTTACCCCTATATTCAACTGACCCCGATCTCCCCTACGTCAAAACTGTATAAATAACAAATGTGATTTGTTATTTATAGATACTTTGCATGTTATGGCAATGACATCATCAATGTAATTTGATATATCTGCAAAAATGCAACATTTGCAATTTCATCAAAGTATAGCTGTTAGCGTAATTTAAGATTTGTTTAAGAGCATGAGATGTCTGATATCATTAATAAAAATAGCGCACATAATGATAAAAATGACAAGATTTAGGTGCACCGTGTCAATTCGATCGCGCAAATGACAACATAAAGCGCGATTTGATTGAGCAAGCTACCCTGCTTAGTACTATAGACGAATCTTTTTACATAAAAGGGCGTCTTTTTGTACGCACTATCCTTGTCAATCACTAGAAATCCATATTTTTGCTTCCAACAATTACGATATAAATCGTAGAAATCTTCATAGGAAATATCGATATTCACGTTGTACACGCGTTTCAGATTAGTATTACTCTGTTTGAAAAGAATCAACAGATTTGCATTGTCGCGTATAAGATGCTTCGGTATCTTTGCGTATGTCTGACAGAGATAGAAACAGTTGATGTTCGCGTGTTGTCCCATTGCAAAGTCTCTTATCGCGTCCTGCTTGTCGCCACGTCATCAAAGATAAAGATGGAATTCAGAAGCGCCTCGCTCGGTGGAATGACGTCGTTATTGGAGAATGTAAAATAACCGATTTCCTCGATCGGTGCTAACAAATTCGTCAGGTATCAATATTTCGGTTGTTGCAGCGATTTAGAGTATACGTACACATTCTCGAATCGTACACCGTGCGGACTTTCCAACAGGCTTATCAGCATGTTCGTCTTGCCGCAATTTGATGATCCATAGACGACAGCGAGTATAGAGGTAGCATGCTTGTGCGTGCCTTTATCGGCTTACACTTTGTCATCGAGATTCGTCACTTTGATCGTCCGCGACTAGCGCACGAACCGCATATTTTTTCTTTCCACAAAATATTGAAAACAATATCGCGAGCGGACCTTTTTATAGAGCTGCGTAAAGAGAAATCGATCAGTAATCAAAATGTTTCTCGTCGTGTCGGATGATCTGCACAGTGTAACCTCAAAAGAACTGGAATACATATCGAAAATTGTATTGCTGCGAGAGTTTAAAAATTGCATAATCTGTTGTGGGACAGATTATCAGAATATATACAAGCAGATTCGGAGGTACGACGATACCGTCGATGCCTGAAGCATCATAGCATTACAATTTATCGAGTCATCAAATCAACGCATATTGACGATTCGACGCTTTTGATAAAGAATTGCAGCCAATATCATCGAAAGGCTTGTTAAATCATACGATAAACGCGCTTTCTTTCGAACTATATACTCCCGGATATCAGTTTTGCGGTTCGGGAACGTGATTGGAGAAGCGATTGGCTAGAGGTGAGATCAAAGAGATCAAAGAATTAATTCATTGGATGCTGCGTGTCGCGAACACGACATAGTATTCACACAGCAACGATCTCGCTAAACAACACGCGGCTGACAATATACTCGCTGAGAAGGCGCGGAAACGCATTACCGCGAGATTCGACTTTCAGAGAGAGAGCCGCAGCCACAGCAGTTTGGGCAGCTATGAAGATTGGTATGGGCTTGAAACCGACAAAAAAGAAGAAGAGCAAGCGAATACTTCTGACGGCGAAACGTGATGGCGTCCTGCTTGTTCTACCGCTGCTCGGCATTGTCAGGTCATGGGTCAACGGCGCAGTGGGAGTCGCCAAGGCAGAAATTAAATGATAACAAAGCGATGCAGCGTCAGCTGGATGAACTGCAACGTCATAGTCGCATTATCCACGGCGTTTATCTCGCTCCCTACAAGGACAAGGTATTGCGCGTAGAAAAAAAAACGTTAAAAATGCCGAGAGGAGTAACTACCGATGTGCAACTACAACAACTTGTAAACCATGTGCGCATTCTGTATTTTAGAGGCATCTTTATGCGTACTACACTATCGAAGGAATACATCAAAACGAGAGCGGTGTCTGGACAATGTCGAGGGATACGGTACGCATTAGGTAGCGTAAAGAGGGAATCGCGTTCTGTACTTTGACAGTTTCGGCAATCTTCGAGTGCCGAAGGAATTTGAACGGTATCTGCCAAACAGAAGGTAAGAGGACTTAATTTCCTCTGCCATAGTAAAACTTGTTGTTTATTGAATTTACGTTGACTAGAGTATAGGACGTTTCAAAGTCACCCAAATCTATCACTAGAAAGTAGCTCACAGCGAGGACGCTACTCATGCCGGTCAGCGTAAACGTCAGCGACATGTTTCGAACGAGCACTAAGTTAAATAGCGCAACATCGGTCCTTAAATTACTTGTTAATCGTTCGTAGAAATTGTAGATAAAGCTGCAATTGTTCTGACAGTAACGTTGATGAGGCGTGCGATTGTACCCGATTACATTGTTTGGCAAATACTATTCAAGTTCCTTCGACGATAATAATTTTTTTAAATTGTAATGAGTGTCTTATCAATTAACGCGGAGAATGACGAAGGAATGGTGTAGGGACAAAAGAATAAATAATTTTAAACGTAGAGTAATATTTATTAATATTTATTTTTTAATATTCACATTTTTTATTCATGTAATATATAGTATACAATTTGATCTAAAGTGAATGCTATCAATTCACACTCTATAAGGAAACTTTTATCACAAATATTGTGAAACATATTTACAGCGTCGCGTTTATTAATAACACATTCTTGACGTAAATATAAAATAAAATGTTTAAATTTCTTATTCGTGTTATCACATTCTGAGAGAGTCCTAAATATACATGCTTGACACAATGTTCGAGATCAAGCATGAAAAGCAAGATTAATGGCATTATATAAAAACATTTATTGCATGATAATTTTACTTTATTTGTACCATACAGTTTACAAAATTCCGATCGATTTACACATTCAGACCTTGAATGGTTAGGAACGATAGCGTAATTACAGACCGCTGAAGCTGCTCAATATCCTCGCGTCTGTCGATGAATGCCTTCTATGTCGCGTGAGATAAGATTATCCGGTTATCTCGAGTATCACCAAATGCAATTTCCACATGGGATACAAGTCCTACGCTGATTCCTATGTCTAAATATTTATAAGCCACAGGCGTTAATGAGTATCTCCTTCAAGGTGTAAGAGGTTTAACAAGATTTCGAATGAGAAGATACACTGTAAAAAGAAATAAAAAATAAGCATAGAAAAATGTATAATATATAAAATGTGCGCAAAATTTTTTATGTAATTGAACACAAACTTACTGTCCCCAGCGTGCTTCATCTTGTTGAATCGGAACGTAATAGTTTATAGCTTGAGATTTTTTTCTCAGAGAACTAGCGATAGCTGTCCGTCGAATCTGTCTGAGAGATTGATAATGTTGTCCAGATTCTTTTTTTAAATACTGCTCCCTTCCATATTTTTTTACATATCCTAAAGTGAGGATTTTTTTTTAGATACTTTATACTTCAATGTACAGTTGCGATTATGAATATTGAAGGATACCGGATGAGGTTCTCGCGTAGTAAGTATCATAAATGTATTAAATTAAATTGATTCGATCGTCTAAGTTCACAGCACCATGTATTAGTATTGCGAGTAAGCGCATTGCACAATACAAGTTCTCTACCGCGAATCAAATGCATCGACGAACAATATTGTTTATCCATTTTTTTACACAGAGTAACGGAAACTCACAACTTTCAATTATAAACGTTTTAAAGTATATATAATATCCTTACACATGTTTTTTCTACGGTGGCCGCAGTGGAAACTAAGGGACTGATCCGTTGGAGTGGCACGTATCATAAGTATGCACTCTGATCATATCGAACCTTGTTTGTCTAAAGTGATCGTATCAAACTTTTTTAATCAAAGTTTTTTTTATTACATCATTAACGTACATCTATTCCCACACTCTTTTCAAATAAGAATTTTTAGCGCTACAATAAAATCGCCCTTCGAAAATATTCAAACACGTTAAAAATACGTTAAGACACACAGTGTATTTAAGAAATGACGCAACAATCATACTACATGGGCTGAAAAGTCCCGGGATTTTTCAATAGGTGGCGCCACTAGAAAATGAACATGATTCATTTCGAGAGGTTCATCTGTCACTAGTTTATGCATGAAGTTTCATGACATTTCGTTCATTCGTTTACAAGCTACAGCCGTTTAAGTGGCGTTACTTTCGCCTTCGTAAAAAAAATGGAAAAACAGGAATATCGCATCTTGATCAAACACGTCCTGTGCTGCATTGAGTTCTACTACACTGATGATCATAAAAGATATTGCTCATTATGCATCGTAAGAATATACGATCAATTTTCACGTCTTCGTGCCATTCGAAAACATGATGCCAACATATGTGTGATTCTCGAAGGTTATTCCTGTTCGGAATGCAAAGGTTTTCTTTATCAAATAATGCTGTGTAACATGTGTCCTATTTGTACACAGTGATACAAGGTGTTGTGAAAGTTTTGTAAAAGATACAAAAAACAGACTAAAAAATATAGATTTTCTCAAAACTTTTTTTAATAAAAAGACTGTGAAAAAAAGATATTATAATATGGAGCAAGTGGAGCGTAATCTGATGGAACAAATCGCACAGTTGAATACGCGAGAAGAATTTCTTGCGTGGAAACAACGATGCAACGATTTCATCCGAAGCGAATCGCTGGAGGAACAAAGCAGCATTAACGTCCGCGGTTACCGATCGGTGTTAGACAATTAGACATCGGTGTTGTTGATCGCTCGTATCGTGCGACTCGAAAATTTAAAGGATTCGGTGCGTGGACATTTCATGCAAATGAGTGCCGGATACAGCGCGGGACTCAGATGGCGAGAGATAGATACCGCATTCGAAAGCCGTATATTGACCGACGCGATAACAAACTTTGGACACATCGAACCTCGTCAATTTCTTGAAGATGCGAGAGAAATTGTGTTTGAAATTGAGTGTGTGCAAATTGTTATGCAGAGACATAATAATATTAAAATAAACATTATGTTTAATTACATTAATAATGATGAATTTATACCAGGTGATAAACGCGCCAATAAAAGTTAGTACGAAAAACTATGAACTCTTTAATTCATCCAATTTACAAGAATGATACGCGTCGCGCATTGTCGAGCTCATCTTAGCATCGCTCGAGGAATTTCAGGAGCGGCTGTCGCGTATCTTAAATTTGACTGTTAACATAAACATACAATCCTTTGCATGTGGGATGCCACATTGTGAGGGAAATTAAAATGAAGAAAGCGATAATCAACGTGCAATCTTTAGACAATGCGTGTTTTGCCTGATCGATGGTAGTCGCTCTACACCCAGCTCAAAGTAATACAAATCGGGAGTTATCATATCCACATTATACGATAGTATTAAATCTTAAAGACATTCAGTTTCCAATGACGTTGAGTCAAATTAAAAAATTTGAAAATCTTAACATCTCCATCAACGGTTTCGAGAAGCAAAAAGAAATGACGATTTTTCCTTTATGATTCACTGATATGAAGAGGGATAAGCACGTCAATTTGCTTTGCGTGCAGGATCCTCAGAACAATAACGCAGAGCACTTTGTGTGGATCAAAGATCTGCTCATGTGAGCTCGCAACTCAGCAAAAAAGAGCGTAAAAAGTACTTTTGCGATCGATATCTATATATTGTAAAAATTACGTAAAAATTTTTTATAATAAAAAAAGTTCTTTGAGAAAATAATAAATTATACATTCTTTTTTCAGATGTTTACACTATTTTAGTTCGAATGCAAAACTGGAGAACCACGCAATAGACTGCGAAAAATTAAACAACTGTGCCATCAGATTACCGAGCAAAGACGACAAGTGGTTGAGCTTCGGCAATTACATCAGGAAGGAACGTATCCCGTTCGTAGTCTACACCGACTTGAATGCATCTTGGAGAAGACGGAGAGGGATATCGAAACGTCCAGCTACACGTACCAGCATCATCGGATATTTAGTTTAGCATTATGTCCTGTTCGTACGATTCGTTGTGTATATATAAGTTTCGTCGCGGTAACGATTGCGTTGCGTGATTCGCCGAGGAACTTAAAAACTTAGCGTATAAAATAAAGACTTCTCTTGTCCACTAACATTCCCATGGCAGATTTTACGCGAGATGATATGATAAATTTTAACAACGCTACGCACTACCACGTGTGTGAAAAATTGTTTGCACCGGATGACACGTGGGTACGCGATCATTGCCACTTGATCGGGCGATGCAGAGGTCCTGCGCATTCAAATTGCAACTTGAATTACAAAGATTCATGTTGCATTCCTATAATTTTTCATAATTTATCGGGATACGACGCGCATTTTATTATCAAGGATGTAGCTATCGCGTATATATAAAGGACGAATAAATATATTTCTTATAACAAAAGAAAAATATATTTCCTTCAAAAAACATGTCGACGACACTGCAAATAATAAAAAAAAATGTATAAATTTACGTTTTTTGATTTACGTTTATTGATTCTTATATATTTCTCACCAATTTAGAAAAATTGACGTCATATCTCAATAAATTGAAAATTACACGGTCTGAATTTTTCAATCTCAGCGCGGAGGATTTCGATCTTCTCACACGCAAAAACATATTTCCATACGAGTACATTGACTGCATCGAAAAGTTAGAGGAAACCGAGTTACCATCGCGCGAATTATTTTATAGCTCGCTGACAGGTGATACTGTATCGAGAGCGATTATGCGCATACCGTCAACGTGTGGCCGTTCTCAGTTCTCCATTCAAACGCTCGGTAAATATAGCGATCTGTATTTAAAGACAGACATTTTGTTATTTGCCGATGTTTTTGAAAATTTCCATAATAGTTGCATCGCGAGTTACGGGCTCGACTCCGCGTATTATTATTCACTACCGGTTTTACATAGAATGCGATGTTAAAACATACACGTATAAAATTCGAACTTCTTACGGACATCGACATGGTCATGTTCATCGAACGCGTGGAAGTCTAAGCCAATGTTCAATCAGATATGCACGAGCTAGCAATAAGTATATGCAATCATACGATCCATCGAAACCGTCGACGTACTTTAGGTATTTTGACGTTAACAACCTGTACGATTGGGCAATGTGTCAACCATTACGCCGATTTTCGATGGGTCGACGATGTAGAAAATTTTGATATTACGACTGTTGCAATTCACGGGTTACGTTTTCGAGGCTTAGACTTAGAGTATCCGCAACATCTTCATGACGCTTACACAGACCTACCATTCTGTCCGACGCGCGAGAAATCACCCAACAAGCAAGAGAAGAAACTCCTCGCTACGTTGTATTGATAAGAAGCGTTACGTAATTATCGTAATATACTTGTCACGGTCTCAAAATCGCAAAAATTTACTGCGTACTGCAATTCGCACAATCTCCATAGCTTCGCGAATACATCTTAATACGAATTTTAGAACTCTTGCCGACGAGTTTGAAAAAAATTTGTATATATTAATGAATATTGTTGTATTTGGTAAAACCATGGAGAATGTGCGCAACCACATCGATGTGCGACTTGTAACACGTTGGGACGAGAGATATGGTGCGGAGACAATGATCGCAAAACCAAACTTTCATAGTAGAAATCGTTTTTTCCGAGAATCTAGTCGCGTAATTTCATAGAAATGTATAAACTCGAGATGAAATTCAACAAATCGATATACGTGGGTATGTGTATCCTCAATATATCCAAGATATGTTTGTACGAATGTTACTGCAAGTATGGCACTGCTGTTTCGAGAAAATTGTAAAGTTATGTACACTGATACGAATAGTCTCATTTACAACATCGACTGCGACAACATCTACGATATTATGAAACGTATTAACTGATTCGACACTAGCGATTATGCGGTTGATAATGCGTATTGTATTCTGCTAGCTAATAAAAAAATTCCGGGCTTAATGAAAGATGAAAACAACGGCACAATCATGACTAAATTCGTCGTAAGAGTAAAAATGTACGCTTTGCGCGTTGATGGGAAGAAGTTGAATACGAAGAAGGCAAAAAAAGGCAAAAATAACGTTATAGCAAGATCGATAACATTTGATGATTACATGCAATGTCTAAATAACGAAATGAAGCACAGGCACTCGTGCATAAGATCGAAATTGTACGAAGTATATACGATATCGGAAACGAAAATTGCTTTAAGTCCGTACGACAAGCGATACATTGTGCCAGATTCTACAGACACACTGCCATGGAGACATTATAAAATATTACTATATAAAAGAAAAGAGAAATAAGTAAAATGAATCTCATTTTTTGTACACTTATGTATTTGTAATGATATATAATTCGTAGAAATACATTTCTTTATAACACATTGGCCTTATGTATCTATGAATTGTGCGAATTATCAAATCCTAGTCATTTCACGTAAACGTAATTACCTTTTTTGCGCAACACTTTTTCAACTAGATATACGTCGGGATTAGCGACGCGATGTAACTCGTAGAATCCTTCAGCGAGCAGTTTTCTGCGATAATCTTCCAGAAGATACGTCATTAGTTACGGGATTAATTTTTTGTACTTTGACGATTCTAAACACCTCCGTGATCCAATTTGGCGTGTAACCTTTCTCAAAGATTGTTTTGAATTTTACACGTACCAAGTCATTCACTTTGAATCACGGGAGTATGACGGTCTTTACGCTACTATACACCGTGTTTAAAAGTTTGTTGGGGCGATTGTGGGAGTATTGTGGGGAGATTTGTGGGGAGATTTGTGGAGTATCACATCGATAGGTCACATACGGATAATTCATGCGGATGTTTTCGTGCGTTGTATTCTGACACAAGACGCGGCAATAAGTCGATCAATTTGTAATTTCCATTGTAAATTGTTTTCACATATCGTTTTTCAATGTCGATTGAATCGTTCGACGACCGACGCCTTTATTACGGAATACGTTGAATAATGATTTATTTTATATTTTTTCAAGAGTTTTTGCACATTTGTGTTGTAAAATTCTTTTCCCATATCGGTTTACAAATTTTATGGATATCTTCTCTCGTTTCAAATTATCTTTTCTATCGCTGTAGTCATCTGATTTCCATTCTTCATTTTGAGATACGGTCCATGCTTACTCAATACATCGATAACGGTAAGAATATAGTGGTAACCTTTGTTGAATCGTATGTAAGGGCATTTCGATCACATCAGCCTGCCACAGGTCATCGTATCCGTAAACTATGATACGTCTGCGTGGAAAATTTTTTTCTCGCTGGAGCATGCAATTCTCCTATCAGTCGCCACTTTTCAATACTTTTCTTTTCAGACATTTTTTTTTGTCGTGATATACAATGCAAAAAAATGTTACAAATATCTTATACAAACGTTGTTGATCAATGTTTCGACGTAGACTAAAATTATTGCGTATTCCCCGTTTCAATTTCTTGAAATTCTTTCGTGAAGCTGGCCTTATTATAGCACTTATTATTATGACCAAAATTTGGTGATTGGAGCATGAACGAGTTACGCGCATGGTGTTAACAGACATTTTTGAGTATATGTACAGCATGAGGTTTGACAACAATTTTGATTTCTAATAAAGAAGGAGAATTTTCAAGATTTCGAAAGTTCTAGAAGTTTTCAAACTACATGCTGTACATTCGTTAATTTCATAAAACATCTCGTATGCCGAAGCGAATCTCAGCTACCCACTATTGGATTATCCGCTTTATGACTGCGCCTATGAGCATTCGTTGCCAACAATATATTTTTATATGCTAGTTTATCATTCTCTGTATAAATAGTGTCGTCGGGAATACTTTTGAAAATTAATTAATACAACCTAGGTGTAGCTTTGAACTTTACTCCATGATCTCTACGATCACAAAATTACTCATGTCTAAATCGAACTGTTTGTCACCGAGCATCGTGCCGTTCTCGTTGAGATATATGCCATAAATCGATCTCCTTTTCTCTGTCGTCACTGAGAAGCATGTTTACGTATTTTTGTTCCAGCGGCCCTAATTGATCATGCAACTCTTCACGAACTTGTTACGTTTGCAAAGACTGTTTAACTAACATTTCAAGTGGTTCATTGGGCGTTTCATAAACATCTTCGACTAAGGAAGAAATGTTCGTACGATAATTTGCGTGATGCGATCAATGTAGAATTAAGTGAATCCAACATGACAATCGGTTCTTTTGTTCGTTGCTTTTTAGGCGATGGTGTTAATTGAAGCCATGCTTTATCCATTCAGAAATCATCATCATCATCTTCGTTATCTTCGTTATCTTTAGGTTTTCGTTTCTTAATAATTTTGTTCTTTGCAATATTTACTTCTTTCTTAATCGCTAAGATTCCTTGCTAACGATGTTTTCGACAATCTGTTTCAGAGGTTCGACGATAGGCTGAAAGTGTTTCTCAAGCGCTATGTCTTCGTTTATTTTACCGGTTTTCAAAACGCGATACTTTTTAACTGAATCACTGGTTTTCGCAATCTGCTTCGCTATCCTTTCACGATCCTTCAGCTCCTTGTTGCTATCCATGTTGTACTCGAAAGGGAACGTTGCGTAGTTGACGTATTGACAACGACTAATTAACGGTATCGCATATTCATTAAATCCTTTTCTGTATCGTCCATTTGTGAGCGCACTGTCTTTATCTATCACTACAATCCATACTTTTGCTGCCAACAGCAGCGACACAGTTCGCAGAAATCCTCGTAAGACATGTCGGTATTTATATGATCATTGTATACATGTTTCAGATTAGTATCATCCTGTTTGAACAAGATCAACAGATTTGTATTATCACGTATAAGATGCTTCGATATCTTTGCATACGTCTGACAAAGATAGAAACAGTTGACGTCCGCGTGTCGACCCATCGCAAAGTACTCTTTGATCGTGTCTTGTTTATCGCAAGCCACGTCGTCAAAGATAAAAATTTGGAAGCGCCACATTCGGTAAAACAACATCGCTATTATTGGAGAATGTACAATAATCTTCAATCCGAATTGAAATTTTTTCAATAAATTCTCCAAGTATCGATATTTTGGCTATTGCAACGACTTCGAGTACACTCGAAGCGTATGCCATGTGGATTTTCTAATAAACTTATCAGAACGTTTGTTTTGCCGCAATTTGATGGACCGCAGATAATACCACGTATAGAAATCGGCAACATGCTTGCGCATTTCTTTTTCTGTACTTTGTTGTCAATATTAATTACGATTGTTTACGATTGTAGCACGAATCTCATATCTTCATCCCCTCTACGATACTGATATAAACTGAAAAAATTGCACCGAGAGCGAAGCTATTTATAGAAGTGCGTAGAGCGAAACTATTGAAAGTATTGAAAATGTTTCTTATTGTATCG